AAGAAATAGCAGAAGACTAGTAAACTCACCAAATATCCAATTCCCTCTAGAGAGGAGGGTTCTGTTGTCTAGCCAGCAGTTTTCCATGGCTCCCTTGTAAGGATCGAGATGGGAAGATTAGTGAAAGAAACTAATTTGTGCTGCACCTGGCATGAGTGGTGTTTTTGGCATACACTTGGTTGTGTTAATGCATGAAACTATTGCCCTGGAACTCCCAAATCACACCAGCTAAGAAGTAGCATGTTTCCTGACTTGAAGATTTGTGGGGAAATCCAGAACCATATGGCAGTGTACCCAGACTCTCAGGAGCATGATTGTGGTTTTCCTGACCCAGATTCTTGCCTTTGTCGGTCTGGAAATTGTCACTCTAAAATAACTCTGCTTTAAAGGAAATATGAAAATAGCTTATTTTGAGCCAAATTGGAGTGATCATGGGCAGGAAGCATGGATTCAAGCTACCCTGAATGCCATATTCCATCATGGAAGAGATTACATGAACTTTTACAGGTACAGAGCAAAAGAAAATCATGAATCAATACATTTACAAAATGTATAGGCAGGGTCCTTATGGAGGTGGGCTGTAGGCAAGGCAGGGGATATCCCTGTTACAAAATCCAGATGTTTTCAGGGTTGGTGGAAGCTAAAGATCTGTCAAACTTAGCATACATTCTGAGAATTTCATCTAGTAGCTAGGAGGATGTTAGGTCAGATACAGAAGTTGATAGTAAAATGTCTATTAAATGGGACTAACGATAGCCCATGATCACTTTGGCTCTTTATCTGCAACATTTCAGCTCACCACTATCAGTGTTTCTAGTTAGCCAAGGTCAGATGGCAGGCTCTTCAATACAAACATGGCTTCTTCTGAAAATGTCAGTTCACAGCATTGACTCTGAGGGAGGAGATCTTGTGAGTCTGGTGAGGTGTGAATTTGGACCAAGTTCTCATTTATTCCTCCTGGATTTTCCTTCCAAAGAACTGGGGTTGTGTTCCATACAGAGCTGTGCAAGAATGAAAGTATTTATTGATCCTTTGATAGCGTTTGATGAAGAGTCTCCATTTTTCTGGGCTTAGATCCTGAAGAAGAAAAGAAGGTCATTCCGGCAGTCATAGATAGCTTAGGATGATGGAGAGAAAGGCTGAGACTTTTGTCCCTGAAATGCCAGCTGGAATTCCATTTCCTGACTTGATTAAGGCTGATGGCTTTCATTTATTCTTCACAGGATGCCCTGGGATGATGTCCCCACTCCTACCCTTGCTATACTGTTGATCATGTCCCTAGATTGTGACAAGTTTAGGATAGTTGCTTGTCCTTATTTGCCACATAGGTGAAATGTAATCAAGGTATTTTGAGCCAAACATGGAGACAGTCATTCTGTGCTGTCTTCCTGAAGGATGTATATATAGCCCATATCCTCGAAAAATCTCTCTCATGTTACAGAATGTGCATAACTATAAATCTCTTTGACAAGGTACTACCAAAACTACAAGCTGTCAGGGCAATTGGGGTGGCTTAAAGCACAAGATGTATTTTCTGTTTTCATCTTTTCTTAGCATATCTGCTTTTAGGCAGTGCACTTCTTAGGTAAGTTGAATGTATATGGACTAAAGAAAAGCATCATGTAAAATTAGAAGAGAAAATCTGAATCTAAAATTATTTTCAGAATGTGGTCTGAGTGAATGTTCTGTGAGCTTGAGAAGAATTTGTAATCTTCTGTTGTTTGATAAAGTAGTCTATAGATTCCAATTATCTCTAGTTGATTGTCTTTACTAATATTCTGGATCTATTTCTTATACCAAAACCTGTTAAAGACATTACAGACCAATACACCTTTATGAACATAGATGCAAAAATCCTCAACAAAACATTAGCAGTGTGGATCCAACAGTGTATGAAAATAATTCCACAACAGGACTAAATGAGACTTGTCCCAATTAATGGATTGGGCGCCATAGCTTAGTGGTAGAGCACTTGCTTAGCATGCACAAAGCCTTGGGTCTGATCCCCAGCAGTGTTAAAAAAAATCCACCACATCAATAGGGTATAGAAGAAAAATCACATGATCATATTGATAGATGAAAAAAAAGCATTTGACCAAATCCAACATCCATTCATAAAAAAACTTTCAGAAATATAGGAATAAGAGGAATGGGAGGCCTTCTTCAACTTAATAAAAAATCATATACAAAAAACTTGACAGCTAACATCATCCTTAATATCAAAAAACATGAAGGTTTCATACTAAGATCAGGAACAAGGCAAAGATGTCCTCTCACACTATTGCTTTTCAACATCATACTGTAAATCCTAACTAATTCAATAAGGAAATAAAAGGTATATAAATTGGGAAGGAAGAATTTAAACTGTCTTTGTCTGCAGATAACATAATTATGTAGAAAATCCAAAAGAATTGACAAAAAGAAACCAAAAAAAGGCTTGAAATTAATAATAGCAAGGTTTCAGGATACAAGGTTAAAGGTAATCATTTTCCTATATACCAGCAATGAACAAGTGGAATCTTAAATTAAAAATACATCATCATTTACATTAACACCCCCCAAAATGAAATACTTATGTATAAATCTAAGAAAAGATACCAAGGTCTGTATGAGGAAAACTACAAAACTGGTGAAATAAATTAAAAAACTAAGTGAAGAGATATTCTATGTTCATGGATATGAAGACTCAATATTGTCTTCATAGTTGTTCCTAACTTGATCTATCAAAAATCCCAGCAAGTTATTTTATGGATATGAAGTATCTGATTCTGTAGATTATATGAAGAAGCAAAACACCCAGAGAAGGCAACCCAGTATTGAAGAACAAAGTCAGAGGACTGATGCTGTTAGACTTCAAGATTTCTACAGTGACCAACACAGTGAGATGTGCACAAAAGAATAGGCCAATAGGATAAATCATATAAAATAAAGAACCCAGACATAGACTCTCATAAATATAGTCAATTGATCTTTGACAAAGAAGCAAAACCAATCTTGTCAACATAGGTGCTAGAAAAACTGGATACCCTGACCTTAAATCCTTCACAAAAAATAACTCAAAATGAATCATAGTCCTAAATGTAAAATAAAAAACTAATAAAACTCCTAGAATATGACATAGGAGAAAATCTAGATGACCTTGGATGTGGCAATAACTTCCTAGATGTTAGATAGGCATGATCCATGAAAGAATGGATAAACTGAACTTACTAAAATTAATTTTTTTTCTGATCTGTAAAAGACAGTGTCAAGAGAATGAGAAGACAAGCCAAAAGCCACAGATTGGGGGAAAATATTTGCAAAAGACACATCTAATAAAGGATTGTTATGTAAAATATACAAAGAACTTTTAAAACTCAGCAATAAAAAAATGAACATCTTGGTTAAAAATTGGACAAAAAACCTAAACAGACACTTCATCAAATAAAAAGACAGCAGCAAGCATATGAAAAGATGATCAACTTCATGTGTCATTAATTAACTGCAAATTTAAACAACAGATATATTCTGATATATTCATATCAGATATCAGAATGTATCAGAATGGCCCAAATCCCAAACACTGACACCTCTGAATGCTGATGAAAATGTGGAGCAACTGAAACTCTCACTCACTTCTGATGGGAATGAAAAATAGCATGGCCACCTTGGAAGACAGTTTGGCAGCTTCTTGCAAAAGTAATACTCTTCCCACACAATCTGACAGTCACACTATTTGGTAAATGAATCAGTGGTTGCCAAGCATTGGGGATGGGAGGAATGAATAAGCATAGCACAGAGGATTTTTAGGACAGTGAAATTACTCTGTGTGATGCTACTATGGTGGATACATGTCTTCAAACATTTGTCCAAACTCATAGAATGAACAGCACCCAGAGTGGATGGTAAGATAATCTATGGATTCTGGGTGATGATGTGTCTATGTAGGTTCATTGATTATGATAGATATACCACTGTGGTGGAGGATGTTGACAGTAGAGGAGGTTTGCAGAGGGGGGAAAGTAAGTATCTGGGAACTCTGTTTTCCTCTCAATTTTGCTGTGAATCTAAAACTTCTCTAAAAAATAGTTTAATAAAAGCCATAGTACTCAGTAATACATATGATCTTACACTATTTATGTTAAAATATACAAATATTTTACATTTTTATATAATATATGTATGTGGTGTGATCAAAAACTATGGTGAATGTTTGAATTTTTAAAAATTTATTACAGTAAAAGACACATTGACATTAGACACCCTCAAGATACTCTCCCTCACTTCACACATTTAACTCATTGTTCTTGCCACTTTCTGAAGCAGTTCTAGAAGTCCTCTTTCTTGAGTATCTTTTGTTGCCCTGTCGTGGCTGCCTCAGTATCCTGAATTGATTCAAAACATTTACCTTTCATGGTCATTTTGACTTTGCGCCACATCCAGAAGTCACATGGTGCCAGATTCAGGGAATGAGGTGAGTGAGGATACACTGCAATGTTTTTATGAGCCTGCCTTTCCAGTGGATGGCACTTGGCAGCATTTTAATTTTGAACAGCATACTTACTCACTTATGTAAAAAAGGCGAGCAGAAGGGCTGGGAACATAGCTCAGTGGCGCTGCGCCTTCCTGGCGAGTGCAGGGTCCTGAGTTCAATCCCCAGTACTGGGGAGGAAAAAAGCCAAGAGGAGTTGCTGCTAGACATGTGTCTCTGGGTCCTTCTTTCAAGGACACATCAGAAGTTCATGTTGTCTGGCAACTTTAAAATAGAGTTGTAGCATTTATACCACATTTATTCATTCAAGAAATATTTCTTGAATTCCTCATCTGTGCCAGGCATTCTCCCAGGCCCTCAGGTTGCCAGAGTGAAGGGGAAACTGCCCTTGTGATCCCAGTTCAGGGAGTAGGTGGAACTCTTGGGGCAGGAGTGAGAGGTGGGGTGGGCTTTTTGCATGTGTGCATTCTCACAGGCTGAAAAAGTTCTGCACTTTTTGGAAAATCTGACAGTAATTCCTTTTTCTCAGAGAAGCCATGTGGAGACCCGCCTGCATTCCCACACACCATCCTGCAGGGCCGCACCGGCCTGGAGATGGGGGATGAGCTGCTGTATGTGTGCGCCCCGGGGTCCTTCGAAGGCCACCAAGAAACAGCCTTCACCTTGCTGTGTAACAGCTGTGGGGAGTGGTATGGCCTGGTGCAGGCCTGTGGGAAAGGTAAGCGCCCTGGGGTGGTTCCAGTGCTAGCACCTCCCAGCCCTCACAGAGCCCATACAGTGCAAGCAAAGGGCTCTGCTTCTGCTAGCTGTGGGTGGTGAGCTCTTCTTCACCAAGACGCCTTTAAGAAGAGGCTTTCAGCCTCTCAGCTGAGCTCTGGACCTGGCAATATCTCCAACTTGGCAGTCCGTTGCAGCATTTCAAAAGCACCATATGTACAGCCGAGCTCATCTTTCTTGCCAGGGGTTAATGGTGAACAAAACCCTCCCTTCTCTAAGAATCAAATTGACCCTTAGCTTTCTTGCTTATATTCCTGGAAAACTGGTCTGATGGGAACATCAACTGGGATACCCAACCAAATTTCTTCTGATAAAAATAACCCTCAAATGTAAACTGGGCCGGGAGGATTTGTAATGAATACAGTGCAGGAAAGGGGGCTTCTCTGAGCGTGGTGATTCTTATGTCTGTGCATGACCCACATGAGCACACCAAAAGCAATGCTGTGGGTTATTGCAAGCGACACGGACCCTAAAATATATTTTAATAATAATAATGGTAATAATAATAATAATAATAATAATAAAATGAGATACAGGCCTTTGGGGAACTCCCAAGCGCAGTTGATCAGACTCATCCATGCAAGTATAGTTCCCTCGAACCTGAGAAGTCGGCACAGGGGGCTGGGAGTGGAGAAGGAGACTAACTCCAGGACAGCTGTGTGGACTGCTGCAAGGGATGTTCCACTAATTTAAGCTACTTGTTCTGCCTGCCCCCTTGCTTGCTCCCTGGCCAGGAACCTTCTGGATATCAGGGGTCTCCCGTCAAGTCTCAGTATGACTGTAAAGAGTCTAGCAGACACTAAGTGACCCAAATCCTTGTCTGACTTCCCCAGATGTCCCCGTTCCACCATCACAATCCTGGGGGTCCCAGGTTCCTGCAATCCCTCCTTTTGCCCAGCTCCTTGAGAATTTTCCCAAGGAGAATAAACAGTCTTGAGTCATAGCAGGCCCAGGCTTCCTGAACAAAGATGTCATAAAGGGTGGAGTGTGTGTGGTGCCAAGGTGCTCGGGGCAGGTGGCTCCCTGTGCCCCAGCCTCCATACCTCTTGTTCCTGTTGAGCCTCTGGACTCCCCAGCTCATCACGTGGCAACAGTTGTGACTATTGGTTTTGGTGGCTCCACTTCCAGACCGGGCCTGCTACCAGGTCCAGCTGACCTCTGAGCCCCAGGACCAACTGAGCCCTAGTCTTCGAAGGACTCTAATCTCCCACCTGAAGGATCCCACACACTCACTCCCTGGAAGACCCAGGGCTTTGATTCCCTGAGGTCCTCTGCTCCCTCCCAGCTGTTGGCCCCGCCTCAGGAGTTGACTGACAGGTGTTTCTATCCCTGGACATGGATTCTGCTGGAGAGCTGCTCTCAGAGCCAGATCAGCTTGCTGTTTTCATCAGGGTCTGCAAAACAAGCTTACTCTGCAAGAGAGAGGCTCCCGGAAGTGGTTCCAGTGCTAGATGTGAAACAGAATCAGGCTCTAGCTTTACCTCCTCGACTCCAAAGTAAGATTCAAACAGCTGGTCTAGTCCAGGCTACAGACCACCAGTCATTTGAAGTACTTGTTCCACTTCTGGATAGAGTTCAAAAGCAGTTTGTTGCCTCTTCCCTGAACCAGAAGAAGAATCTAGCTCAACATGGGCAACTTGCTGCAGTTGTTGGAACCCCACTTCAATTTGCAAAACCTAAACTGCAAACCCGGCTGTGGTGGCACATGCCTATAATCCCAGCACTGTGGAGGGTGAGGCAGGAGGATTGCTGTGAGTTCAGAGCTAGCTTGGGCTACATAGTGAGTTCGAGGCCAGTCTGAACTTGCTACTGAGGAGCTTCTAGGTCAGCTGTCTGCCTCAGGAGGTAAATGTTCTGTCTCCAAGTAGAAGTGAGGTTCATCACTCACACTTACCAAACATCATAGTGAAACTATGGATATGGAGGTTTCAATAACTTCACAGGCAGCTAAGGAGGCTCAGCCTATTCCACACCAGCAGCAGGCCCCGGCCTAGCTTCCAGAGAATCCTGAGGAGGTAGAACCTTCATTAACCCAACTAGAGGCCCTAGCTCATCTTCTCGCCCCTCCTGCAGGGATTAAACCTTCTCCCAGTGATAGGAGCAGCCAGCTCAACCTCCTAAGTCTTCTGGGGAGACTGAACCTTCTGGAAGCCAATGAGAAACTCAAGCTCAGCCTGGAAAGACTCCTGAGGAAGTCAAAACTCCAGTTGAGCAAGAGCCTCAAGCTTTAGTATCTCCTCTGGAAAATATAGCTGAAACTCCACCACATCGTGAGGTGACACTTCAACCCTCAGGTCAAGCTCAGGCTCACCTTTATTACTTGCTCAATGTTAGAGTTAAACCTGTGGATGTGGAAATTACCATAATTTCAGACCCTAAGATGGAGGTTGAATCTTCTTTAGCCCAGCAGGAGGCCTGAGCCCAGCCTCCTGAGGATGTTGAACCTTCTCCCAGCCAGCAGGAGTACCCAACATCGCCTTCAGGACTCCTGGGGAGGTCGAACCTTCTGAAAGCTGGATAGAAGCCTTTCTGAAGAGATGGAACCTTCTTCCACCCAGTAGGGGCAACTGAACTCAGTCTCCAGAGCATCTTGAAGTGACAGTTTCACCGCCAGGTCACCATCAAGCTCAGCATTAACACTTGCCCAATGTGACTATTAAACCTCCAAATCTGTAGCTTACCATAACACCAGAACCCACTGCAAAGGTGAGAACTTCTCCAGGCAACCATGAGGCTACAGCTCAACCTTCAGTTCCAGTGAATAATGTGGAACCTTCTACAACCCAGCATGTCATCCCCACTATGCCTCCAGAGCCAGCTGAAGAGGTTGAACCCTGCAGGGGCATTGGCCAGGTCCACTGCAGACCTGGGCTTGTGACTCAGGCTTCATGCCAGACCCTGAGTTGTTCCCTAATCACAACAGGGCTCCTCTCACTCCCAGACTCCTCCTTCAGGGGCTGATCCCTGACCTCCCGTGCACCTGAGTACCAAGTGAAGGTTGGTTCTACAGAGGGGAATGGTTCCAGTGTCATGGTGTTACTGAATGTGTAGGATACGTCATCCCTGGGATATCTGGAAGATCTCTAGGTTCACACCCCTGTTTATCAGTCTGTTAATTTGGCTTGTTTTCATTTAGTGGCTGTCACAAACTATGCTGCTGTGCTGGTTTTCATCCATGTCATTTGGTTCACATGCGAACATTTTTCCACTGCTTCCTAGGAGTAGAATTGCTTTGCTGGTGTACGTGTGTATTGAGCTTTACTGGATACTGCCGAAGAATTTCCTAAAGTATTTTGGTCAGCTTTCTCTCCTGCTAGTGTTCTTGTTCAGAGTGCTCACCAACCTCCAAGATTTCCATCTGGTGACTCCTCTGTGGTGACTTTAGTGATAATATATTTTCCTTTCTCTGATGATAGTGAAGTTGAGCACTCATCCCATGTTAGGGATTAAAATGTTCTCATGTCAAATGTCTATTTTAAGTATTTTGTCCATTTTTCTAATTGATTGGAATTATTTACATTCATAGGTTTTTTTACACAAAATGTTCAATTAGTATGTTGCAAGTATTCCTTCCCATTCTGTGACTTATCTCTTTACTCCTTGGAGTATCTTTTAATGGATAGTTTGTTTTTTTCTATTTCAGTACTTTTCAAACTCTCTGTGGATTATTATGATTTTTTTCTAGGCAGTGACAGACTGACACTTTAATAAAATGCCTTACTGTAAAAATAAAATAGAATCTCAATTTAAACACAGTATTTTGTTGCAGTAAATAATGGATACAAAATTCTCCTATCAAGTTGTTGCAAAGCTTCTAAAAACCTTGTCTGTGTATCTACTTAGTGCATACCAGCAATAAAAAATTACAGACAGGGACAAGCGCTAGACTTACAATATGAGCTACCCTTCTGGTACCCACATTCATCTTCAGATCCTTAATGTTTTTTCTCATGATGCACTCGAGTGTGGTGCCATCCCCTGAGCCACACCCACCAGCCAAATGGGTTTTACTGGCCCCAGTAGAATGAGAACTAAATGCAGGTTTTGTGTGTTCAAAATAGTGTTTATTTTCTCACTGCAATGCAAAATTGTTAGAGCTTTCAGATGCTGGGCAGGAATTCTGGCTTCTACACTTGACAGGGCATACAAACCGTTACAGTTTTCATTACTCTGTAGATTGGAAGTATCTGTGTTATTCTTTTTTAAAAATCTCTAAGTGTGTATTATAAGAATATATTCACTAGATATTTCACTCCACTGTGCACATTTATTTTTTTCCAGTGACCAACAACTTTTTTATTATGATATTTAGAGAAATTTAATCTCTATCTAGAAGTTCTAATTTAATCTCAAATTAGAGAAAAAGTCTTTTTGGCAGAGTGAGTCAAGCAAGGGTTAAAGCTGAGTGAATCTGGGTTTGGATAATAATTCTTCCTTGTGCCAGCTGAGTGGCCGTTCATCTGTTCGCTCCATAGCCCATCATTTAGCAGTATCCTAAGTGCCACATACACAAAGTTGAGTCAAACACTGTCCCAGCCCTGAGGGAGACACTAGTAATCGGATGCCTCAAAGGAGACAGGGAAGCAGAGGTAATAAGGTAGTGGGGGAAGGCTGGGAAGTGAGGTCTAGTAGATGACATTTTAGAGAAAGTGTTTTGAGATAGAAGTGGTCAGTGAATGCAGAGGCTGCTGAAATCAAGCAAATGAAAGCTAAAATGTGTGCACTGCCTTCACAGTGTGAAGAAGGTTCTGGTGGCCTTGTATTTCAGTGTGCTTTGTGAGGGGAGGATGTACACAGCCACACTGGCCTGGTACAGAAATGAGACGGGGTGAGAGACAGGGCCGAGGCCAAGGGACTTGGTCTTCAATCTCTGGTGTTCGTGAAGAGGGTCAGGGAACCCAAAAAGGCAGAGCTGGAAGAAAATCTGGTGTCCAAAGAAGT